GAGAAGAGCAGGAGGAGAAGGAGCGAAGGAGGAACAGAGAGAGAGGAGGAGGATGACGAGGAAGAAGGAGGATGAGAGGAGGAGGATGAGAGGAGGAGTTGGAGGAGAGGTAGGAGGAGGAGGAGGAGGATGGGAGAGAGGAGAGGAGGGAGGAGGAGGAGGAGGAGGAGGAGGAGGAGGAGAAGAAAACTAAAGGCCGTTTGCGGGAAACTCGAATTCCCCGCGTGCAGGTGGGGGGGACGGCCTCAGCCCGCTGGCGGCGCCGCGGTTGGGGGTGCGCCAGTAGCCATACAATCCTCGGCTTGATTATCAAGACCCACTTGCGGACCATCGAGGTCTACGGGTGGAGCATCAGGTTCCACGTGTGGATCCGTAGTTACCTTACGGAGATCCTCATTCGAGAAACTTACCGAAGAACGCCGAACATCACAGGGGGAGCCGCTCTTAGGCGTATGGGATACCACGTCAGACATGCACGTCAGCCAAATCCCAAACCCATCAAAAACGTTACTCCCGCCGCGCCTCAGAAGTGCGACGACGAGGACAACAGCAAGTACAACACCAGATACAGCAAATACAACACGAAGTACGACAATGCGGAGTACAAGTACATCGTCGTCGAGGTCCCGGAGCGCGACTACAAGCACGCGTCGGCGATTACCACCAGCACTGCCAGTACGACCAGTACGACCACCAGTACGTGGTCGACGACCGATGGGCACATGTGCTAGCAGGGCAACGAGGGCCACCAGCTGAGCTAAGAGTGCCACCCGCTGGACTGCCAGAGCCGCTGCCTGAGCTACGAGGGCCACGCGCAGACCTTCGGGGGCCTGCTGGCAGGGCCACCGGCACAGCTACCAGACGCCAGTTGAGCAAGGAGGGCTACATGCAGATCTACGAGGGCCACGTCTTGATGCACGAGGACCTTTGCCTCCACGGTCGCCTCAGCCAGAAGCAGACCTGGGCATCAGCGTAACACACAGACGAACCCGGCGCGACCCCAAGTAGGGGGGGAAAGCCCGTTGCGTCGCCGTATCGTCGGGGCATTGCTTCGCATGGGGTAGAATTATGTGGCATTGCTTGACATTGATTGGCGCTTCTGGGTAATTCTTGGCATTTGTTGGCAGTGCTTGGCATGGGTTGGCATTCCTTGGCAGTGGTTGACGGTGCTTGGCGTTCCTTGACATAGCTTGGCATTGCTTGCTGCTTGGGGCAACGGGGGGCGGCCGGTGAACCCGAGGAAGCCGGGGAATCCAGGGAACCCAGGGAACCTGAGGATCCCCCGAGGAACGGGCAATGGAATAATCGGAGGCGCCGGGGGCGAGAAACCGCGGGAGCTCAAGGGATCTGGGGAACCTCCGAGGAACGGGTAACTTAAGAATAGGAGAGCGAGGAACGAAGGAACCCGGGGAACCCGAGGGGCCCATGGATTCTCCGAGGAACGGGCAACGTAGTAATAGGAGACACCAATCTTTGACCAAGTAAGAACCCTTTTGGCAAGCCTAACTGAGGCTAGTTGGGGAATTCTGATGGGTATCCCCCCCCCCGCGGCGGCAGCCCGCAGTTGGCCCTACGGGCTACGTCGCCAAGGACCCCCCCCATCGTCGCCACGGCTGGACTCGACCGAACTACGAGTGACAGCAGCTGATTCTTCGAGAGCCACCAGCAGAGCCACGACGGCACGAGGAAGAACTTGAAGCTGAGAGGGCTACCGGCTCAGCTTTCAAGGGAACTGGCTGAGCTCTGCGAGCCACGCGCAGAGCTACGGTGACCACACGCTGGGCAGCCAGGACCACGCGAGTTGCTACGAGAACCACCAGCCGAGCTGCGAGGACGACAAGCCGTCGCGGTGGAGGAGACGGATGCTGAGGACGAGGAGGAGGAGGAGGAAGAATTGGAAGCGGCACAAGAGGCCTGGAGGCCTGGGGTGGCCCAGAGGGTTGAGGAGGCCTGGAAGGCTGAGGACACGAGGAAGTATGCGAGGGAGGCGGACGGGAGGCCGGTAAGGCAAACACGGACCAAGGAAGCACACGGGGCCAGGAAGGCACGGGAGGCACAAAGGACCGAGCAAGACACCCACGCCACGTACGTCCCCATCCTCAAGCAGATCGATGCGGATATGGAGTACATCACCAGGCAGTTGGAGCACAAAACGAACGCGCGGGCGCGCTGGGAATGCGTCTACTATCGGCGTGTGGGGTACGACGAGGAGGACGACATCGCTCTCCACCTGCTCAGGCACGGCACCTGGCCCCCCCCCCGAGGGAGGCGCGGAACCCCGCGCGTCAGCAGGGTGCCATCGCAGGAGGCTAGCGAGAAGGCAGAGGAGGAAAAGGATGAGGAGGAGGAGGAAGAGGTGGCGGAGAAGGCGGAGGGGAACGAGGATGCGAAGGTAGCACAGGAGGTCGGAGAGCACCGCTGCCTAGACCTCGTGCGGGACGCGGTCGCAACCGACGACGTCGATGCCCTGGCCTACTGGCCACATCTCGAGCCTCCCGTGCGATTGCGCGGGACGCTCCTGGGACTGGAGCGTCAAGTGCGCCTGCGAGGACGCTGCGCACGCCCAGGAGAAGCGCCTCGTCGCGGTGGTGGCCCTGGACCTGCGGGCTCAAAGGAAGAGGGGGAAGGCGAACGCAGCCGAGGACGAGGACGAGAACGCCGAAGTGCATGGCGAAGCGGGGGGCGGACGCGGAGGAGGAGGAAAAAGGCAGCGCAGGAGAGAGGGCCGCAGAGCTGCGGCTACGTGGACAGGGCGCCCAGCGCGGAAGAGGTTGGGGCAATGCCACCGAGGTGGATGAGGGGCTTCTGCCCCCCGCGGGCGCTTCAACCCAAGGCAGGCCCAGACATGAGCCCAATCGAGAGACGTCAGGTGGGGGCCCCCCCATCGCGGCGGCAACCCGCACCCAGCCCGTCGGGCTGTGTCGCCATGGTCCCCCTCGGCGTCGTCGCCGTGGCTGGGTTCGCCGTCGTCGTCACGGTTGGGGTCGGCCCTTCCCGCCCCGAAGCTGTTGCAGCCACCAGCAAAGCTACCATGGCCGCCGAGGGGCTTTCGGACCCACGAGGACCACAGGCGCAGCTGCAAGAGCCCCCTGGACTCCTGGAGGGCTTCAAGGCCCACCTTCCGAGCTACGAGAGCCACCCGCAGATCGACGAAAGCCACGAGCAGCGTTGCGAGGACCGCGAGTTGTGCTACCAGAACCACGGGCAGGGCTACGAGGACCACCAGCTGAGCCACGACGGCCACCAGCTGAGCACAAAGCGTCGACAGCCATCGGCGGAGCCACGAGGTCTACTTGAAAAGCTACAGGGCTACGAGGACCACCAGCTGAGCCACGACGGCCACCAGCTGAGCACAAAGCGTCGACAGCCATCGGCGGAGCCACGAGGTCTACTTGAAAAGCTACGATGGCCACAACCTCAGCTCCGAGGGCAACTGGCAGAGCTATTCCAGCCACCAGCAGAGCTACCAGGGTAACCAACGGACCGTCGAGGAGCACACGCTGAGATACGAAGTCTACAGGCACAGCTACGAGAACCACCGGCCGAGTTAAGAGGAATGCAAGCTGAGCTACCAAGGCCACGAGCAGGGCTACGAGGGCCACTAACTGTGCTACCTGGGCCACCAGATGTGGTACGACGGCCGCCAGCACAGCTAGGACGACCACCAGCTGAGCCCCGTGGAACACTGGCTGAGCTACGAAGGCACCCGGCTGAACCACGACGGCTACCAGCACAGCGACTACCTCACGACCCCCACGTGACTACGAAGGGTGTTTGCTCATACCACGGGCCGGGATCTACAGTACTGTCCCCTCCAGGTACAATTGGGTCTTTTCGTTTGGAGGTTACGACGCTACTTCGCCTACTCCGCTACCGACAAAGGTACACCTACGTCTTACAGGCAGAGTACTACGTCATCCGCAACCGCTACGGGATCCCCCCTTCGCATTTTCGATAAGAGCGCCCCCTGGTGGATCGGGGGGGGGGGCCGTGCCTCCGCCCGCAGCTTGCGCGCGCGCGACGGTGCGGTTGCGCGGGTCGGGAATGCCCAGCGGCGTTGCGCACGTATGGAAAAGGCGAGATAGAGGAGGCTGCTGAGTTTCAGAGGAGGAAAAAGGAGCACGATAATTAAGGCGAGGAGGAGGAGAAGCGAGCAAGATCAACGGAGCAGACGAGGTTGAGAGAGAGAGAGAGAGAGAGAGAAAGAGAGAGAGAGAGAGAGACAGAGAAAAACAATGCGATAGAGAGAGAGAGAGAGACAGATAGTGAAAGCGAAAAATGTGGAACATCACAGGGAGGAAAAATATAACCAGAAACAGGAATAGGTAATCTTCACCAGCTGGCTGGTGGGCGACGACTTTTTGGCGCGCCGGGTCGGGGTGGTTGGCGGCCCATCAGCGGTTTAGGCTTCGGCCGCGCCAGTGCCACCCGTGTGGGGCTTCAGGCCCGGTGCATTCCTCCTTCTCCCCCCCTTCTGGTCTTCTTTTTGTTTGCTCCCTCACCCTTCTGCCTCCTATCTCTTCTCTGCCCCGTGCATCCATCCTTCCACCGTTGTTATCGTCGTCCTTCTGATTGCCACTCCCTATCGTGATTCTGCGTCCTCGCAGCTTCGTCCCTGTCTCACCAGCCGCTACTCATCCTTCCTCCTTCTTCCTCTTCCTAATATTGTTCCTGGCCCTTCCCTTTCTTCGTCCTCCTATTCCCTCTCCTCCTCCTCCTCCTCCTCCCCTCCTCCTCCTCCTCGTCCTCGTCCTCCTCCTCCTCCTCCTCCTTCACTACCTCCCTCCCTCCTCCACCTTCGCTCCTCCTCCTCCTCTCCTCCTGTCCTCCATTACCTCCTCCACCTCCTCCTCCCCTCCTCCTCCGCCTCTTTTTTCCCTCCCCACCCACCAACACTCACTCCTTCACCCACTCCGCCCAAAATACTCCTCCTCCCCCCCTTCAGCCTCCCTGCCCCTCTTCCTCATCCTTCCTTCCCGCCGGGGCACGCCGCTCCCGAGGCCATGGACGCGAGGGATGCCGAGGACAGGAAGGACGAGAAGGATCTCCGCTGAGCACGGGCATTGCGCGGGGATTGCCACGCGTCCCTCGCCGATTCCTCTTCGCCCCCCCCGCCCCCCCAGACGAGTTCTCGGCCTTGCCCCCGCACCACCGTGCCACTTGCTCCGAGTCGTTACCCAGCAGCTGCGGCTCGCTGGAGCGACCCGTCGGTGCAGAGGTCGAGTCGAGCCGGCCACACTTCGCGCTTGGATGCTTGACTCCCCCCCCCCGTCAGCTCTCCCCCCTCCCTGTCGTTGCCGCTCTCCCTGTCGTTGCCTCTCGTCCCCCGTCGCCCCCCTGACATCCTCCCTTTCTCTGCCCCCACCTGCAGATCTGCATATGATTATCCTCCGCCTGCTCCTCGCCACCGTCAACAGTAAGTGCTCATGGTAATCGTCCTCGCCATCCCATCGCCAGCTTCGCCGCACCCTCATCGTTCTTGTCCACATCCCCCTTACATCCTCCCCATCCGCCCCCCCGCACTTACGGGTGGATGGGTAACCTCGTGCATGATGTATGGTGCCACCCGTGGCCGGTGATCGATTTGCCCCCCATCTTCCATGGTTGTGCCTCCACCCTCCGGTGCATCAGCGTTTTTGCGTGCAGTGGGGAGCTCATGGGGTCTCGCGGGAGGGGCCGCAGCGATGCATCCAGATCAGAGTAAGCCTGCGTGTTGTGTTCGCGTTTGCTTGGCAGTCTACCACGAGTGTAAAAATGCCTCCGTCCTGGAAGCACGCCGAGATCATCTCCGCTATCGGGCTGCATCTGCGCTTTCCGCGGCTCGCTTGGCCTCTCTCAAGCAGCGGAACAGAATCATCAGGATGAGTGATGTTTACATGGGTGCGCTTGCATCCATGAAACCCTAAAATTCGTCAACCTAAGCCTTTAATCAGCCATGAGCCAGGTGCTTCAAACTTCGGCCTCCATTTGGGGTCCGACGGGCCTTGTACCCTTACAGCGCATTCTCCCCTCCTCCCTTTCCCCCTCCCTCCTCCCTGACGCTGTTTTCTTTCCCCACTTCTCGGGTTGCCTGGCGGATTCCTGCTTTTTCTGAAGGGTTGATGGTTGTTCGGCCTGCGCCGGGCAGCCTTCCTCGGTGTTTCCCAGATCCCTTTGGTCCTGTTGCCTTACGGTTCTTACGCTCAGGTGCACCTGGCCGTATACTGAAGTCGGGCCTGTCCCTCTACAGGAGGAATATCCAAAAGTACTACAAAAATAGCCAGGGGACGATGTTTGTTACTATGTTTGAGCAGTTTTGTTGAACACATGCTTTTTGAGTAGTTTTCAAGTTTAACCTGCAGGGGAATATAGACATGCAGGACATGGCAACGTTTCAAAGACACCTGATTGGGCGACGGGCAAATGCAATGCTTAGTGTATCGATCTTGATGTACCGTGCCGAGGGCTGTGCTGTGCAGCGCCGTGCTGAATTGCGATGTGCCATGCCACGATTGTGATATACAGCGTTGTGGATCGAGTTCTCCTTTGCATCCGAGTCCTGACCGAATTGATCTGGATCTTAAGCTCGAGCTGCCTGAGAACATAACTAGTAGCTGCCCCAGAGCTGATTGACAGGGGAACATGCCAGGAGGACGGCGCCGCGGAACGTCCTAAGGGACGCGCCAGGCGACGTGCCAGGGGACGTGCCATGGGGACGCACCGCGGGACGTGCCAAGGGGGCGCGCTACGGAACGTGCCAGTGGACGTGCCACGGGACGTGCCAGGGGACGCGCCGCGCGACGTGCCAGGGGGACTCGCCACAGGACGCGCCACGGAACGTGCCAAGGAATGTGCCAGGTTGCAATGTTGAGTGAGTGTATCGATCTTGATGTAGCGTGCCGAGGGCTGTGCTGTGCTGCGCCGTGCTGATTTGCGATGTGCCATGCCGCGATTGTGCTCTGTAGTGTTGTGGATCGAGTCCTCCGTTGCATCTGAGTCCTGACCGAACTGATCTGGATCGAAACATCGAGCTGCCTGAGCACATAGTCCTAGTAGCTGCCCCATAGCTAATTGACAAGGGAACATGCCAGGAAGACGCGCCGCGGAACGTTCCAAGGGACGCGCCAGGCGACGTGCCAGGGGACGTGCCACGGGGACGCACCGCGGGACGTGCCAAGGGGACGCGCTACAGAACGTGCTGTGGACAAGCGTCGTGTTGGTGGTCTGGACACGTAAAAACACGGTGCCGGGACAACCATGTTAGATACCCCCTGGGTGGCCTGGACACGAAAAAACACGTGGTTCCAGCTCGGGCCAATCATGTTAGAGATCTCCTTGGGTGGCCTGAGCATGAAAAATCACGTGGCTCCAGCTCGGGACAGCCATGTTAGATACCCCCCTGCGTGACCTGGATACGCTGAATTCGCGCTCCCGCTCGAGACATCCTCGCAATGTCTTCCCTGGAGAGGCCCCCAAAGCGCAATCCCCTGTTCAGAGCAAGAAACCATCACTTTTCTGTTTTGGGACATGTGTTCGGGTAGCGCTCTTTGGCCCCCCGTGCGTTTCCTCGCAATTCGGCGTTGGGCCCGACGCCATGTTAGATACCCCAACTCTGCAAACCCAGCGTTTCGCTCGAGACATCCTCAACACATTCTGAAAAACAAGCGTTTCGCTCGAGACACCCCCCAACTCTGCAACACCAGCGTTTCGCTCGAAACATCCTCAACACATTCTGAAAAACAAGCGTTTCGCTCGAGACATCCTCAAATTCTAATCCGCCGGCCCAGCTCGACCTCGATAATTATAAACAAAATAATCCGCCAGCCCACCTCAGTCATAGCACGGGGGACAGTTGACAAACAAAAGAGAACCCTGGGCCCACGCCCTTTCCGGGAAAAATGGATCTCCTCGCTGAATTTACGAAGCATGCGACGAATGTACGCAGACCAGCGGGACATTCTACGTGTTTGTGCTTCTTCTTTGTTCTTGTAAAGTCGACGAACACACCAATTCTGGGGTGAATGAACTCTGTAGTCGATCCCTTGCTCGAATCTAGGCCTCCTAGATGGGTCCGAGTAGATGGGGTCGGAGGATCGCGCCGCATCGCCGATACATCGTCGTTGCGTCTCGATGTGGAGCCTGTGCTTCCCCACGCCGACGCCTTCGATGCATTGCCGACGTGCGCGATGCATCAGCGATGCGACGCGATTCTTCGACCCCATCTTCTCGGATCCCATCCCATCTAGGAGGCCTCCATCGAAGGATGTTGTTTCCAGGTGCGTTTCGATCCTGATGTGTTTCCTCGATCTCGGCCTCGACACAATATGAGGCCGATGTGCACCGAGTTTGTTCTGTACGTGGCGCTCCCTTGGGAAGAGCTCCGGGCGATGGCGCTCCCTCACGCCTGCCACTCTGAGCCAACCGGCTTCGGACGACAAAAGCGACGTTCCTGCCCTCCCACCCCATCCTAGATCCAAACTCACCGAGCGCGTTCCACTACTCGCAAAGTGCCTACTCGCAAACGTCCGGAAGAACACATGCCCGCTTTGATGTAATTTAGCGCAGATCCTCCGCGGGGGATCCAGGCCATGTGCGAGTAGTCACTCTGCGAGTGGTGGAACGCGCTCGTCTAGAAACAGCACGTGTGCAAGAGTTGGCACGCGCGCGCACGCCCGATCGAGAGGTGCTCCACTCCTGCCGTGGCTCCTCGGCCTCGACCTCCACCGGCCCGTCGCCTCGCGCCCCCAGGGGCCAGCCAAGATCGGCCCCAGGGACGACGCGCCGGCCCCGGGCGGAGACGCCCGGGACCTCCGAGGCCGCGCACGGAGGACATGTCCAGGCCTCCCTCCCTCCCTCCCTTCCCTCTCTCTTCCTCCCACCCTTTCCCCCCCTCCCTCCCTCCCTCCCTCCTCTCCCTCTCACTTCTCTCTCTCTCCCTCCTTTCCTCCCTCCCTCCATCCCTCCCTCCCTCCCTTCCTCCCTCCCTCCCTCCTCCCTCTTCGTCTCCTTCCCCCCCCTTTCTCCTCCTCCTCTCTTCCTCCCTCCCTCCCTCCCTCCCTCCCTCCCTCCTCCGGTCTCCTCTGTTCTCGTCCCTTCGTCGCGGCGAGCGCTGCCCCTCCGTTTTGTCCGTGTCGCCCGCCGCCCGCGCGGCTGGAAGGACAGCGCGTCGCTCGCGCGGCAGAAGTCCGCGCAGGACGGGGAGCTGAACCAGCAGTGCGTGCTGGCCCCTCCCACGAGGGAGGAGGAGGAGGAGGAGGAGGAGGAGAAGGAGGAGACGGAGGAAGTGGAGGGTGGGGAACGAGGAGAAGGGGTCAGGGGAGGATGGTGAGGAGGAGGGGAAGGCAGCGGATGAGGAGCAAGTGAGTTATGAGAAAATAATAGAGACAGAGAGAGAGGGAGAGAGAGAGAGAGAGAGAGAGAGAGAACGCAAGAGAGAGAGAGAGAGCGATGACATGGATGAGGAGGAAAAGGGGGGGGGGAAGGGAGGACGAATAGGGAGGGAGGGAGCGAGGGAGGGAGGGCGGAGGGAGGAAGAGGAGCAGGATAAGGAGGAGGGTGAGGACTAGAGAACGAGGAGCAAAGAGGGAGAGGAGGATGAGCAGAAGGACGGGAACCGTACCAGGATGCGGATAACCCGAGGAAAGAGGGAGTGCAGAGGCAAGATGTAGGGGCGGAGAGAGGAGAGAGGAGAGGAGTTGACGGGGGGGCTTGCCGACCGGCAGGTGGTTCGGGTCGTTGGCACAGAAGTGGGGAGGGAGTTGGAGGAGTCGGGCGGAGTGGAGGAAGGCGAGAGTGGCTTGGCGTTGCTCGGACGTGTGCCTTTTCCCCGGCGAGGACCATCGCAGAGGATCTTGCATCACTTGCCCCCCCCAAAAAAACGCACGAAATCGAGCAATGCATAGGGAATGGACGCCCGAGCGATGGCAAGGTGGAGGGAGAGCGGAGAAAGAAGGGAAGGGGGCAGGGGGAGATGGGGCCCGCGTCCGCTCCAGAAGAGAGGAAGAAGCGCGGCGTGCATCTCGCGAAGGTTCTCTCGGGTTTTTCTCCCGTGGCGGGTGTCGTCATATTCGGGAGGTGCGGTACGTACCTGCGGCCCCCTGGCTGATTTGCCTCATGCTGGGGTGAGGATGCCCCCGTGGCTCAAGGAAGGAGTTCGCCAACGCCGCGCTCTGAGGCACACTGGCCTCCCTGGTGGGCGGTAGACCCGCACGTGCGGTGCCATTCTGCGGCTCCTGGACACTTGGGGGACGAGACACTGCATAAGCATAATCTGTCGACGCTCCGCGTTGATGTCCAATCGTTCATGCTTACGTTGGTTTAATGTCTGCTGTGAACACTCTGGGCATGGTTCGCGTGGAAAGTGGAAGGCGATTCTCAGCCTCTGCACACACATATGCCGTCGGCCTCCTGCGCGGCCAGGTCACTGTTCCCCGTTGAAATATCTGGGAGCACGAGGTCCAGCACATGGAGAGATCCAAGGGAGCCACGTCCAGCTAATTATTGTTGTGTCTTTCGGAGCCTGAATTCGTAGCGTCGAATGGGCTACTCAACTGCGTCTTCGTAGTGCGTTGTCTGGCCTAGCACCTGGCCCGACTCAGGATGATGATGATGCCGCAACCGCCGCCGCCGCCGATGATGATGATGATCATGCTGATGATGATCATCATGATGATGCTGATGCTGATGCCGATGATGCTGATGATGATGATGCTGC